TTCTATTGATTTTACATTCTGCTCTTTTATTTGGCTGCCCTTTGTAACCTGTATTCTGAGAAGTGCTTTATAAATAAAGATTATTATTGTTTTAAGGAAAAATAAACCTCATGTTTGTGGTGATAAATGTCACAAAATACCATATTTTTTCCGTCTTCTTTACATTCTCTCTAACAGAGTACCTGATAGGACCAGAACGAGATGTAATTCTCACTCGAGTCTCCAGATTTCATGGCCTCCTCTAAATTAAAACTCCCATGAGCTTCTACTGCAACCAGGCAGAAGACTCATCCAACTCTGCTGTGGTCGTCCTCTTTTTAAACACGAGGTTTTTTGCAGTGGAGCGTGGCGACACATCATCTTTATGTCTGGGCGCTCGTCTCATTAAACGTATCATCGCTACTCGCGGTCCATCTGGCTCCATGTGTCGATGGAGAGCTCTGCCCATTATTCAGCTGCAGACGTCCAGTCTCTGCCAGAGCAGCTCCTCTCTCATGACACAACTATTCACTATTCAGCTGTGCAGCAGCAGCTTTTCCTGCTGCTGCTGCTGCTGTTGGGGATATTACACAGATTACCCCTGTGCTGACCTTTCACAGGCTGAACTCTTCACTCTTCCACCGCAGACAGCTGTGAACAATATCTAATTGCAGTAATGGCTCTGTTTTCTGTCACATTTGTGTGCGTTGCACTCCTGTTGTTGCGTCTGTGAGGTGCGATGACTCCAGAAAGCTCCTGCTGTGAGCTATACAGTGCATAAAGGTATTATTCTTTACCATGAATGAGGCAGATGGTCAGAGGAGCAGATTGCAGAGTTTAATTAATGACCAAATAAATGGACGTTGGTCTGAATGGCTGAAGGGCACCGCCTCGTTTTTGTGAGCTGCAGATTTCCTTTTTTTTTTTTTGTATTTACCGGCAGCAACCGTCCCTCCTCTTACCCAAAACTATGCCAGCAGCCCTGCCGGTGTGGAGAGCTCAGCCATCTGCCACCATGAGAGTGTGTTTGTGTGTTCTGTGATGCCAGAACAGAATCGTGCACGACTGTGAGCCTGTGATTGGTCAGAAACCGTCTGTGGCACGATAGCTTTAAGATCTGTTTGTGGGGTTTTTTTGGAAAACAACATCAAACCAGTTCTTCTTTTATGAGTCACCAAATAATTTCTTTAATGTGCTGAATATTGTCTTTCATGCATGATGACTATTTTACAGCCTTTATGACAAACAATGAAGTAGACGTAGAAGAAATGACGTGATATTGGGGCTACAAGTAAAAGAATTTTAGCCAACAGCAGCAGCTACATCAACTGTTTTTCATTTGATTTATAATCAGTTAATGCTGATTGGATTTTTTTAAATACAGCTAGTCAGCTTAGCACGAGATTATATCCCGGTATATGCAGCAGTGCACCTCGTAATATATATGTACCAAGATGAATATTAACCATCATATCAGCTGTCATTTGGAGTCTAGTCGTGAAATTTACCAAAAGCTTTACTGCTTTTAAGAGAGCCACTGAATCCTGGTTTATTCAGGAACAAACCTGTCGTCATGCCTACGTTTTAAAGACCCCCTCCGATGAAAATCAGGTTTTTTACTTAGCTAACGTGTCCATTTGGTGTTTTTTAGAAGACGTATCATGGACAAAATCCTGTTTCATATGTCATAGGAGGCGACCAATGTGGGTTTTTTTTCCCCCTTCAGTATCAGTTATTGCTAATCAAAGAGACTGATATTGATGCGTATTTGCAGTAAAAATGAAAATGTTGGTGTCAAAATTTAGAACAACACAAAAACCTTGATGAAATGTCTTTGCTTATTTAGGTTTTCTTATTTATTTAATCAAACTAGAATTGATCCGTTAGCATCGACAGGCTGCTACTAATATCACATACCGATCAGACAGAGCTGTGGGTAGCATGTTGCTGGAGAAGTGACACCTTTTTTAATTAATTTATCTCCCTGAAAATCAGTTAAACAAAATAAAGATGTAGATAATCGGAAAAAATGCAGAATATTGGATCTGATGCATGACAAACTCAAGGAACCAGTCCTGTCTTTGGTTCATTTTTAAGGCAGTGTGGGATTAATTTGATGGAAACAAACCTGAATATGTAACTTTGATAAACAGAGATCAGTTTTGGGGGTTTAAACCAATGATTTAAGAGGGACTACACTCAGTTTTATATGTTTTATATGTGCTGTGCTCAGTCTTTTGTCCTTTTTTTCCATTGGTTCAAACTTTTTCTTCCTCGAGGCACAAGTGTTGTGAATCCCAACAAACTTTCTAAGACTTACACTAAATAGCTGTTGTCACTTTATGTATGCGTACTGTGTCACATAAACCCTAAATACATAATTACTGTGCTGAGACTTGGTGCTAAATCCTTAAAAGATTCATAGTTTTAGTGCGAATTCTGTTAATTAGTTTTGTGTTGTTGGGATAATAATGTTTGTGTGATTAGTCACTGACGCATTTGAGAAGTTTGGCTTATTTTTAAATGGCTAAAAAAAAAAGTGTACTTAGTATGAAAGTGAAGCAAAGAAAGTCAGGCGTCAGCGCTGAGGTGAGACGGGACAAAACATTTACAACAATATTAGCGCTATTGGTCTGTCTGTCAGCTTATCGGGAGATAATACTGAGGCTGGGCCATCTTTCTGTTTAATCCTCTGGCTTCTGTCAACCAGTTTTATTGTTTGTGTGTGTGTGAGTGTGTGAGTGTGTGTGTGTGTGTGTGTGTGTGTGTGTGTGTTATCAGAGGGTTTTCATTTCCTTGCAGACAGATCAAGAGAGACAGCAGGGATGGAGGCAGGAAGGGAGAGAGACCGGTTGTGTTGGTACTGTTGACCTGCAGTGCTGCTCCTGAAGTTTAGTGGCACATTTTTTCCTTATTGTCGTTGAGCAGCTGACGTCAGTGTGCAGACCAAAGATGATATCATCCTGGTGATGTTTGAGTCGAGCATGAGAACAAGATAGTAGAGACCGATACGTGTTTTTGTTCTTTCTTTTAAGGCCGATGCCAATTGATGGTAACCAGGAAAGGCTGATAGGAGACGATCCACATGACGTAATTTTAGCAACGTGACAGCAGAGAACCTGTTGTTCATAACGAGGCTTCTTCATTAATAAGGGTGACTGTATCTGAATACAGTAATAGTAATAGGAGGGAATAAATTAAAAGGCTCTGCTCTGTTTATGTGGGATTGACTGACATTGATCAGTTTGTATTTGCTGTTCGTCCTTATTTTCCTAACCCTCCTATTACCTTCAGATTTACTGACATGTTTTATAGTGGGGTTGATTTGACCCCAGCAATTGAAACCTCCAAAAAATTATCCAAATTAAAATTGTTACCCTTGTTTATGTGTAAATAGTCCTTTAAATAAAACTGAAAAAATGATGTCAATGACTTATTTTGAGATGTTGAACATTGAATGGGGTCAAATTGACCCAAAGGATAATAGGAGGGTTCATCCTTCTCTGTTCCATCACTTTTTTCGCTAACGCAGATCCGTATCTTCAAATCTTGCTCTCCAGATTCTGTTTCAGGGTGATTTGTGGCTGCCGCTAGTGTAAGCTGTGAGAGCAGCTAATTTCCTGGTTTAGAATTAGAATTAGAATTAGAATAAAACTTTGTTGATCTCTTCGGTACCAGACCTCAGGGAAATTGCTACACCAGAAAAAAAAAAACAGCACAACACCAACATAAAATCAGCAACAACAACAGCATTCAAATTCAAAATCAAAATCAGCATTCAGCATTCAGCATTCAAAATCAAAATCATTCAAAATCAGCAACAACAGTTTGTAGCAACGTCTTGTGTTTCTTGTTCAGTTTTTGGAGTCTTTATTTGAGAGACATTTCCAGGACAACAGAGTGCCGCATCAGAACCAAAATAATGCATTTAATTTACCAATGACTCGTCAATAAAAGTACAGATATCGATAAAATGCTAAATATCGACCTCGATAATCAACCAGGCTTATAATCGGTCCGTCCCTACAAGATAGCATCTGTTCTTTAACTCTGAGCAGCGACACAGTGGAACAGTTAGCCTTTTCTCATCCACTGGATTCGGTAAAAGAACCTGCTTTTTGCGTTCATGCGTTCTGCTGTGTCATCTCTATTTTAACGTCAGCTTTGTGAAATCTCCTCCATCACAAGTGGTGAAGCACAGAGCTGCAGCCAAACCAGTCCAACCTGACGCATCCACGCTTTGTTTACAGTCGCTTCTTCAGTTTCACGGCGGCCCTCTAATAAGGTTATTCCTCCTCCTTTCCATCTGTTGACACAAACACCATTCACAGCCTGTTCTGACAGATCATTTATCGCCGCAGCAGAACGCACATAAACAAACGGCGGAGGCCCTCCATGATTTAGTGGGGCGTCCCTCTTTGTGACTCATTCTTATGCTAATCAGCGTATGTTGCGCTGCTCGTCTGTGCTTTTCAACCGACTGCAGTTGGACGAGGGAACTTTATGTATTTCCAAATGCAAGTAATGTGAAGAATGAAAGTGTTTGTTAAAAGGGGTTTTGGTTGAGTCTGAAATATCAGAGACGGGTTTTGTCAACCAGTTCAACACTTCCCCAGAAACATGGCTTACAGGTCTGAGGACAGACTTACTGCTTACACAACGAGGTGCAGCTTTGTATTCCTGCTTTCTTTTTTGGTTTTTTATCAAAGTATAAGACCTGATGTCAGTGCAGCTTCAGATTCAACCAAACAGAGACTTCTGTTTTTCACTAATCGTCATATCCTCTTAGCAGAGATGAGCCCGAGGCTGCATTATGAGGCAAAAATAAATCACTTAGAGATTTTGGATCTTTGGGCCTGCTGCTTGAACAAGATTAGACATTTAGGCTCTGGGATTTTTCACTATTGTCTGACGTTTTATTTAAGAAGTTTCTTAGCTCTCGGTGTAAACACCAGTAAACGTGTAGCGACTGTTTGTTCCAGACGGCGGATTGACTCCTGTTTTCTCTCCTCTCTCTGCAGCCATCAAGGTGAACTGTCAGGGCTCATGTGGGATCTCCAACAAAATGAATGACGCCTCGTGGACTCTGGAGGAGCAGTACTTCAACAGCACGCTGTCTGTTGCTGACAAAGGTGATGAAAAACTGCGAGTTACTGAGTAGAGACGACGCTACAATGCTGTACACCGTCAATAAGGAAAGACTCACTGACATTAACTTAACATAACCATTAAATCCATCAGTGCAACTTCAGCTTTAGAGAGTACTACTCTCTCTGCCATTACTAAGCATACAGCAATCTTTTTTGAATTTTTATTGAATTTTCGGGGGACAGATAAAGCCTTGTGATTGGTCGATTATATACAGTGTATTGGGAGCAGCTGATTTGCAGGTTCTGTGTGCAGTAACCTGCAGTGTGCACATTGTACCTGTTAAATGAAACTGCTACAGGATCATTCCACCTTAGTTTACCATAAAAAAACAAAAAAACTTTACGCCTGACCATCTTATATTTACAATTTTTGATTACAGGTGTCGTAGCTTTTTGAGTAAAAGAGTGATTTTTCATCTCTTTCTTCGCCAATCTGTGGAGCAATGTTTGAAGCACCATAACTTAAATAATAATGTAGCTAGAGTCCTGAAATTTTGCACGTTCATTGATATGTCCATCTAGTCTTCAATGGTGCAACCCTGCTTAGATAGAATAATACTAAGCAGTTATGTGATGGCGCAAATTTGGTCAAAAATCTCCCTTTTTCTTTCTATTCTGATCTTCCACCAAGCATAAAAATGTTACTTTAATGTTGGCCATAAATGCAAAAAACTTATTTAAATATTTATTTTCTCATAAAGTCTGCCTGGCACCATACTCTGCCTTGTAAAGCTCAGTTGGTACCAATCACAGGGAAAGAAATCAGCCTCTTAGGATGAAAAATAAAGGTTTTATGGTTGGTGGAACATCGGAGTAGACACAAACATTAACATTTTTTGACTTAATTCACACCATTGTTTAATTATTTTGTATTATTCTATTAAAGCAGGGTTGTGCTCTTGAAGACCACATGCACATATTAATAAGCCTGCAAAAGTTTAGCATTCTAGCTTCATTATTTCTCAAGTTATGACACTTTAAATTATATGATGGTGCAAATTAGGCCAAAAAATATCAGTGTTTTTTTCTATTCTGATGTTTCATCAACCATAAACACAGACTGGCATGAAGGACATGGTGTAAAAATCAACATGACCCCGCCTTCTTTAAGAATTTTGAACACCTCCAACCCCAGATTTTACACATGGTTCAGTTAATCAATATATTATCAACCAGTTCTGCCTGAATTTGTCCACGCCTGCAGAAACAGTGGTGTGATTCTTCACGTTGTGTACGTCGCTGCTGACACGCTATAAATGTAGGAAGCAGATTTATCGCCCTCCTCTGAGAACGCTTTAAGTCACATCCCTCCCAGAACATCGCTGTGTGATGTGACTGAAGGCTCCCTGCCTTTCACCTCATTTGGTTTATGGGAAAATCTGCTGCAACAGGCGTAATCTCACAATAGCAGCAGCAGCAGCAGTGTTTTTTCAGGCCTGTAGCGAGGAGTCAAAGCCTCAATCGGTCAGAGTAACAATCCCCTGCAGAGATGTTCCAGCCTGCTTCTCTGCACGCTGCCTCCTCCGGATGAGACGTAGTTTATTGGTGACGTCTGATGAGAAGGTTGGACATGCTCCACAGAGGACAGGTTTCATTTTTTTTAGTTGTTTGTACCAACCGGGTCCCACTCAGCTGCGGAAATGAGAGCTTACAGGACCTTTTGTCCTGGGCGAGGTCCTCCGTCTTTTGTATGTGTTGCAGATAACGCCCCACAGCCAGAAGGTGAAATGCGCTATGCATGCATGAAATCTGTTGTAAATGCAAATCATGGAAGTTAATGGCAGTCATTGGAGCGTATAATCCACACTGGTTAAACCACCACAAGGCAGTTCAGTGTTTAACTCTCAGGACTCCAACGTAAACATCAGTCCACACATACTATATACTGGTGGAAGGTACACTTACTCAAGTATTGTAATTAAATATAGCATCACCTGTTTTAATTATATGATACTTTACACTTACTCTTCACTACAATCCAGATGGAAATATTGCACTGTTTACTTTTTAGTCTGCATTTATGACGACCAAAGTTTGTAGTCAACTTGCATAATATTCCAAATATTTCCTATTAATATTGATAAAGCTATTCAGGCGCATGTAAAATAGTTTAGATGAAATAAATTAGTCTAAATACTCTTTGATAATGCATCATAATGCAAAAATATACCCCCTAAAATACCCAATCTGAATCAGGAACAGCCCCAACAGTATAAAAATACACTGATTATACAGATCTGCATAGAATAAATAGGCTTCAGGCAACACAGAGGCACTTTTTTATTGGAATTTCTACAAGCAAAAATAGCCAATAACCAAATAATATCAAAAGCAGCATTATATTTTTACATTTTTTACACTTTTGAATGCAGAACTTTTACCTGTTTTGCAAAGTAAAGGACAAAACCACCTGTTACACCTCTTTGTAGAGTAAAGTTGAATGCTGCATTAGCTTCCCTTTCATTGAACAATACTTCAAATATACGATTAAAATTAGTTTATTCCAAAGAAATAGTGTTTATGAAAACTTTTAGCAGTGAGTTAACAGAGAAATAGTTCCTGGACTTTTCAGTTTTTCCACTAAGTCAGTTTCACCTCCAAACATTACACATAAAAGAGACATTTTTTAAAGTGTCATTTGAATAAACTAACCGTTCAATCTCACATTTGGCGTGTCAGTAAACTAAATAATGTTGGTTTATTCCGCTTATTCACAGGTTTTTGCATTGTAAATGTCTGTTATGAATTACTACTTCGTCTTGTATTCTTCATATGAACCCGAAACAGCTTAAAATTTTGCATCTTTTGACACGATGAGGGAAACCAAGACTATTAATATATCAACTGTCAAATAGGGTGTGTCAGGAAAGTGCAGAAACCACAATGCTGACAGATTGCTTAAAAGGAACCGACAGGCACAAACATGAACACACCCGACTCGCACAGGAACCTGGAGATCTGTTGGCGAGCTAATTCAAGAGCTTCTGTGTGAATGTAAAAACTATTAATGAGAAGAAATATATGTCATCTGCAGGGTTGTCGAATGGTCGGTGTAAACATTGTAAACTAGAATGTAGGTCAACAATCTTCACAGGACATGCTTACCTCAGACAGTTGGTTATAAAAGGTTATAAAAGCTCAACATCCTTTTATTGCTTTCCAACACTGAATCATTGTAATTTGGCTGTTTGGACTAGAAAATAAAAAAAAGATTCTTTCATGTCAAAGATTTCTACAAAGTAATGTCAATTAAATAAAGTTATAAAATGTAAAATAAGTGATTCACCACCTTTAAAGTGAGCGGAGATCATCTGAGTCCAGTCAATGTGTCTCAGTGGTTGTAGTATAAAGACTCCTGTATCTGGACGGTCCAGTCACTGGTGAGTCGGTACTCCTGGATAAAACTACACCATGAAGACAAAAGAATGCCCCAAACAACTCTATGAATAAGTTGTTTAATACTCTATAATGCTCTGTATCTATGTGGTGGAGGCTAGAACTAGTGAGGAACGCCACCAAGACGGCTATGAAGTAACTTCAGTAGCTGTGATGTGAGAGTTTTTGTACACAGCAACCATCGCCTGTTCTTTGTGATAAGATTAGCTTTCTGTTTGCCGTTTTTCCATAAAGCTTTGACTGGAGTGCAGAGGAGTCATGGGTGTCTTGGTGGCCTCCCTCCCTCGTCTCTTTCTTGCACAATCACGAAGTTTTTGAGGACGGCCTGCTCAAGGCAGATTTAAGCATGTGCCACATACCTTTTTCTAGTATTCATCCCCTGACTTGTGCCTTTAAAAAGACTTTTTCACAGAGTTGCTTGTAGTGTTCATGGTGTAGTTCTGTCCAGGAGTACTGGTACGCCAGAGACTGGGCCTTCCAGATACAGGTGTCTTTAGACTAGAATCACTTTAGTCACATTTCCTGCACTTAGATGATCTCCAATTTACTAATCATGTGACTTCTAGCCCCAGTTGGCTGCACGTGTATTGGATTAGGTGAATCACTTTAAAGGAGGTGAATACTTATGTGATTGCTTGACAAGAGTCTTTTTATGTGGGAAATTCTTGCCAAAAAAAAAGCCAAATTAAGTTGATTTAATGCTTAAAGTTCGATGCTAAGCAGCAACAAAAGGAGAAACCTTCCATTGGGGGTGAATGCGTTTAATAGGCGCTGTGTTTTGTTGACCTGCTCTTTGATCACATAGCTGTAAATTTACATTTTGTAGTTTTTAAAGTTCTTGCACAGTCGCTTGTGTGTAATATTTCTGATGTCCTTTCTTAAGTGAAACTTTTTATTTGCTTATTTATGCTTTTCTACATGAAGTATACACAAACGGGCTGTTTTGACAATGGCATTGGAAACCAGGTAGTTTTGTTTAGTGCTGGTAAAATATGAAGTTAGTAATGCCGAAGGTCGTACACATATTTGATCACTTGTATTCCGTTTTCATTGGTAGGGCTCAGGGTAGTTTGTGGCGTCACTAGAAAGATAAATTCCATCACGTTTGCCAACTCCAGAGTGGCAGATCTTGAAAGCAACAGGAAAACTTCCTCCCCAGCTCACTACCCACACAGCGTTGTGTAAAACACCAGGCGCACTCCAAACGGAGGAGCACATAAATAATTCATGACACGCCCTCTCTCTCCGCTTTATCTCTGCCATTTTTTCCCCGTATCCCATTCTCTTCCGAAAATGGGCTGCTTTGCCCCCAAGGGCCGAGCGACACCGGGGGAGCGAGACAGGAAGGGTGACGGAAGATCACCACACAACACACACACACAACACACACACACACACACACACTCGACACAAAGCAAGCGGCGCTCGCTGTGGCTGACTGATAATGTGGTATGCCACGGATGCTTGACGGTTGGAGGAGTGAGGACCAGTGATGTCAGCGGCGCCTCTTCATCCTGTCACTGCGCTCAGTTAATGACCTTCAGGAAACAAGGATTTCCCTCCCACTGCTGCCGTGTGACTGTGGG